CTGTAGCGTTAAGATTTCCCTTCACTGGAACTAAGGGACCATTATTCCTCTTCCACCAAACTTTATAGTTGTCACTATGCATTGGGGCAGGTAGTGTTCTCCTGGCATCTGCCAAACCCAGATTCGTCCGTCGGACAGCCAGATGGTGAAGCGTGATTCATCACTTCAGAAAACGTGTTTCCATTGCTCCAGAGTCCAATGGCAGTGAACTTTACACCACTCCAGCCGACGCTTGGCATTGCACATGGTGATCTTGTGTGCGGCTGCTTGGACATGGAAGCTCCCGATGCACAGTTTTTGTGCTGACGTTGCTTCCAGAGGCAGTTTGGAACTCTGTAGTGAGTGATGCAACTGAGGACAGACGATTTTTACGTGCTACACCCTTCAACACTCAGTGGTCCCTTTCTGTGAGCTTGTGTGGCCTACCACTTCGCGGCTGCGCCGTTGTTGCTCCTAGACATTTCCACTTCACAATAACAGCACCTAAAATTGACCGGGGAAGCTCTAGCAGGGCAGAAATTTTACAAACTGACTTGATGGAAAGGTGGCATCCTATGACGGTGCCACGTTGAAAGTCACTCAGCTCTTCAGTAAGGTCATTCTACTGTCATTGTTTGTCTATGGAGATTGCATGGCTGTGTGCTCGATTTTATACACCTGTCAGCAACAGGTTTAGCTGAAATAGTCGAATCCACTAATTTGAAGGTGTGTCCACATACTTTTGTATATATAGTGTAACTTGTGCGGTTAAATTCACATGTACCAAATAAAGAATTCAAGTTAAATGGGTTTCCATTGCATTTTCATCCATATTGATGGTTTAGTCCTCCCCAAAATGGCATTATATTGCGAATGTACCCACCAGTGGAGGCTCCTCAGAGGCGGAAGGGGAGGACCATCCTCCTCAGTGAATTTCATAAAAATAAAAATAGTGAAACAATAAAATGTTATCCTTTTTAGATAAAACTATTCTAAATATATTCACATCACCAAATAATTTATTAAAACACTCTGTAGTTTTGCATCATGGTGTAGCCGGAGGACAGCTAGCTTTTTCCTCCTCTGGTAAATTGACTTAGGAGTACAAAACCTAGGAGGCTCATGGTTCTCACCCCCTTCTATAGACTTACACAGTAATTATGACAACTTCCAGAGGACATCATCCAACCTATCAGAGAATTAATCTTTACAGAATATAGCCCTATTTGGTAAAAGACCAAGTCCATATTATGGCAAGAACAGCTCAAATAAGCAAAGAGAAATGACAGTCCATCATTACTTTAAGACATGAAGGTCAGTCAATACAGAACATTTCAAGAACTTTGAAAGTTTCTTCAAGTGCAGTCGCAAAAACCATCAAGTGCTATGATGAAACTGTCTCTCATGAGGACCGCCACAGGAATGGAAGACCCAGAGTTACCTCATTAAAGTTACCAGCCTCAGAAATTGCAGCCCAAATAAAGTTCAAGTAACAGACACATCTTAACATCAACTGTTCAGAGAAGACCTTCATGGTCGAATTGCTGCAATGAAACCACTACTAAAGGACACCAATAAGAAGAAGAGACTTGCTTGGGCCAAGAAACACAAGCAATGGACATTAGACTGGTGGCAGTTTGGCCTTTGGTCTGGAGTCCAAAATTGAAATGTTTGGTTCCAAAAATGATCGCTGCATGTGTATTTCCCACCGTAAAGCATGGCGGAGGAGGTGTTATGGTATGGGGGTGCTTTGCTGGTGACTCTGTCTGTGATTTATTTAGAATTCAAGGCACACTTAACCAGCATGGCTACCACAGCATTCTGCAGCGATATGCCATCCCATCTGGTTTGGACTTAGTGGGACTATCATTTGTTTTTCAACAGGACAATGACCCAACACACCTCCAGGCTATGTAAGGGCTATTTTACCAAGAAGGAGAGTGATGGAGTGCTGCATCAGATGACCTGGCATCCACAATCCCCCGACCCAACGCAATTGAGATGGTTTGGGATGAGTCGGACCGCAGAGTGAGGGAAAAGCAGCCAACAAGTGCTCAGCATATGTGAGAACTCCTTCAAGACTATTGGAAAAGCATTCCAGGTGAAGCTGGCTGAGAGAATTGCAAGCGTGTGCAAAGCTGTCATCAAGGCAAAGGGTGGCTATTTGAAGAATCTTGAATATAAACGTTAATTTGATTTGTTTAACACTTTTTTGGTTACTACATGATTCCATATGTGTTATTTCATAGTTTTGATGTCTTCACTATTATTGTACAATGTAGAAAATGGTAAAAATAAAGAAAAACCCTTGGATGAGTAGGTGTTCTAAAACGTTTGACCGGTAGTGTATACAACGAGCAAAGTGATCATGCTGTTTTTATGTGGCTGCTATGAACCATGTTTGCTTGCGATCAGGGTTGTATGGGCCTCCTGTAGCTCAGTTGGTAGAGCATGGCGCTTGCAAGGCCAGGGTTGTGGATTCAATTCCCACGGGGGGCCAGTATGGGAAATGTATGCACTCACTAACTGTAAGTCGCTCTGGATAAGAGCGTCTGCTAAATGACTAAAATGTAAAATGTATTCATTCCTGTTGGCCTATGTATATTTATAAGAGGAAACCCAAAGATAGAGAATTTGAGTGATTTAAATAATTAGACGTCTGGTTTTAATCTCTTTGCACTTCATATATTGCCACGTAGCTCTGTTTTTCGAGGATTGTGGATCATTCAAAAAATTTTGACTTCATAATTATTTTACACAATGTTGTATGCATGTTTGAAGAAAGAAAAGTATACTCTCTATATCAGCAGCTTGTTGTGCCATGAGGTGTAGGCCTATTGGATCATTATGAACTGATATTAAAATCATCAGGCACAATGATGTTCAATGATGAGACGACCCATTCCCACATTTCCAACTTGTAATAGTAGAGGCAAATACAGCATCCTGCAATGCTTGCTGTAAAACCTCTAGTTACTGCTGGTTGATTGAGCACTTCTCAACGATGCTTGCCAATGATCAGATACATAAATCAATGAAAATACTCCAGAAGAAGTGATCTAACTCTGCACTAGACAGGATTTGAAACACCATATTAGTGGCTTTAGAGAGAGGAAACGACACCAACAGAGAAGGTATCTAATTCTGCACTAAAGAGGACTCGAAAAACACCAATAGTGTTTTAAACCTCTTCTGGTAGTGCTCCAGTCCCTGGCAAAGTGTTGCACAACACTTGATTAAGTGGTGTTACAACACACCATGTAATGTTTCAAAACATCTCAGGATGATGTGTTTCTATACTCCAGTTTCGTCTCCTTCAATTTGGTGGCAGCTCAGTTTCCAACTAGTTTTGGTTTTACAAAGCACTTCATTTGAACAGTATGGGAGGACCACACAACATATCACGGAGTGACTCCAAGTTTACTTCAATATGATGGTTAAATATATCATAAAGGCATTTCCACCAAATTGACATTTTGTGAATACAAATCAGTGCTTGATGACATTGTGCACGCAAAATGTAGTTTTTCGCTTATGTTTTCATGTACCTAATACAAATCTAAAGTTCAATATGTTTCCCTCACATTTTCAACTCTACTGATAGTTTCATCACAAAAACTGTTGTGTTAAATAGCAAATGTGCCTACTCTGGTCTTGGCACTTGCGCTCTAGCCAACAGCTAGCATATACATTGCGAGTAGGCTGTGCTGGTATAGTCAACATGATGATATTATTATGGATAAGAGCGAGAACATTTTTATTTGTCAAACGGCAGTCAAGCATAGATCAACATGTCACCAGAATAAAACCCTTGATATTTATTGGAAAGGAGTTCCCAGTGCACTTTCACCACCCTGTGAAGTTCATCATAACTTATAGTATTTCATCTGTAGCCTAATAAACTGCAATGAACTGTGTTTCCACTGCCATTTCTCACATTATTAATTTTACCACACAAAATGATCACACCATGTCAAACGAAAAAATTATCTGTTAGCGTTTATATAATTGTATCGAAACTTCCTGTTTTCATCACAGCTGTCTTGATTTTTCTTTTTTATAGGTATGGCTTTACATACATAAAAACTGTGGAATGGAACATGGTTATAGTCAAGCAAGAATACAAGTTTCTCTAATAATTTTGCAGGGATAATATGGCAATACATTAAAATAGAGGCAGCACATTACATTGATTTTATAGCTCAATACATAGGCTACTGTATTTGTTGTTTCATGTAGGAGTGTTTTGTTTCATGGTAGTTGCCTATAGCTGGTTGGTGCAGTGCAAACTAAAGTAATGAGCGTGGGAATGAATGCGATAGGACTGTCAGTATCATTGCCATACTGTAGGTAAGTAGAAAAGTACAATGATCAATGGCCAACATGTTGCAATGTTACCAAATACATGATCAAACTCACTGTTGAGCTATGTAATACAATCTCTCTACCTCTCTCTCTCGTTCTCTTATTTTATACCTTAGAAGAAAAAAAGTCTGGCAAGGCAAGTCTGAACTGACAGCCCCACCCACTAAAAGTCCTCGTTGTCGTTTTGCACCTGCCTCACGTCTTTAGGCACGATGTGCACAAGCCTCCAACAGCTAGCCTACTCCTTACCTGCAGAGCAGTGGTCTAGGGTCTCTCATAGAAATAGGGGTAGCATAGAGAGAGGGGTAGGATACACTGGTGTCTCTCTGGGAAAGATTTTGACTTGCTACTGTATTAGATTTTCACAATTTCCCAACCCTTCATGTGGGAACCAGCAGAATTTAACAACTTTACCTTACCTCAACTGATGAAGACATCAAGCGGTAGGGTCATATTTGGGAACGAATTGGTGTTCAAGGTATACATGTCAAGGAAGAAAAGGACTGATCCGTTGATTTCAGTGCAAACAGTGCGAAAGTAAACATCAATAGGCTACAGAGTGGCAACCTGGTAGCCGTCGATGCAAGAGCGCTCCCTCTGGACCTCTCTGTTGAACTTTAACCACTCCGACCGTGACGCGCCGGGAGGGCTCTGCGATGACGGCTCTGGGTGAAGTTGGAAGCTTCTTGCACGGCATTGATGGTGTGGGGCACGTCGGGTCCCATTATCTCCTGACGTCTCTTCGAGAGAGTCCAGTGGTACTGCTGGGTCAGGGTGAACACCTCGTACCTGGTGCTGGGGAGAGGCTGTCCCGGAGCGCCACGGCAGATTTAACTCATTTAAAAGGGATTATCCGGAGAAGGCAGCTATACTGTAGAACTGGATTTCATCTGGAAATTCTTCCGGATGGCACTGTACAAGGGACAAGAAAGGACCACAGTAGATTCGGTAATTATCAAGTTATTAATGTGTAATATTTCACATCTAATATTACACGTTAATATTATATGGTTAATAATGTAACCATATATGTGCAATATTCATTATAATAATACCTTATTATTATAATTATTTGATTCTAATTATAATTCTTAGTATTGTTATTATTATTATTATTTGTGTTAGAGCAAGATCAGTTTCATAGCTTAACATCAGTTGCTAATATTAGGCCTACAGCAAAAGTGCAACTTAATGCAACAGTTATAATTTCTTCAATAAATATAAGTGGAAGTCATGTGAAAGTCTTATAGTGAAATGTGGCTATATTCTACCCTGCTGGGTCACAATCTGTAAAATAAGGCTTAGATCTCTCTGGTGAAATACACCTGGAACAACTGATTTATTCTTCTCCAGGTATTTTGGAATTCATAAGCCTTGCTGTTGGATTGATAAGTATTCGAGGAGTGGACAGTGATCTCTACCTGGGGATGAATGACAATGGAGAGCTCTATGGTTCTGTAAGTATTACACTAATTCACTGTCTCTCTGCTGTTTCTGTACTCCCACCTCTCATTGAAAATGTGTTGTAAAAGATTCTCTGGGTTGTCTTTTGTTGTCCAATATAAATTATATTATACCAGCAGGTGGCATGAATGGGTTTTATTCACTATTGCTGTCATTCTGTGTCACGCCCTGATCTAGAGAACTCTTCTTGGTTGGGTCAGGGTGTGAGTTTCTGTTGAGATCTATGCTATTGTATTTCTATGTTGTAGATCTAGTTAGCTTTTTCTATGTTTGGCCGGATGTGATTCCCAATCAGAGGCAGCTGTCGCTCGTTGTCTCTGATTGGGGATCATACTTAGGTAGTCTGGTTGCCTACCTTAGTTGTGGGATCTTGACTCATGTTTGGCTTGTTGTGGTGTAGCCACTGTTTGAGCTTCACGTTTCGTTGTTTTGTTATTTTGTCAAGTGTTTATTTGTATTAATAAACATGTACGCATACCACGCTGCACCTTGGTCTGACCCGTCTCTCAACGATCGTGACATTCTGCCATAAAGGATCCAGTTCTGGACTAGTTATGTTCTTATCATCTGTAAACACACAGTCCATCCTTACCATTTTGGTATTTTTGGTATTTTAGTAGGATCCCCATTAGCTGTGCAAAAGCAGCAGCGACTCTTCCTGGGGTACACACAAAACATGAAACATGACATAATACAGAACATTAATAGACAAGAACAGCTCAAGAACAGAACTACATATTTTTTTTTAAAGGCACATGTAGCCTACATATCAATACATACACACAAACGATCTAGGACAAATAGGGGAGAGGCGTTGTGCCGTGAGGTGTTGCTTTATCTGTTTTTTGAAACCAGGTTTTCTGTTTATTTGAGCAATATGAGATGGAACGGAGTTCCATGCAATAACGGCTCTATATAATACTGTACGCTTTCTTGAATTTGTTCTGGATTTGGGGACTGTGAAAAGACCCCTGGTGGCATTGTGGGGTAAGTGTGTGTGTCAGAGCTGTGTGTAAGTTGACTATGCAAACAAGTTGGGATTTTCAACACATTAATGTTTTTTATAAAAAGAAGAAGTGATGCAGTCAGTCTCTCCTCAACTCTTAGCCAAGAGAGACTGGCATGCATAGTATTTATATCAGCCCTCTGATTACAATGAAGAGCAAGACGTGCCGCTTTGTTTTGGGCCAGCTGCAGCTTAACTAGGTCTTTCCTTGCAGCACTGGACCACACGACTGGACAATAATCAAGATTAGACAAAACTAGAGCCTGCAGAACTTGCTTTTTGGAGTGTGGTGTCAAAAAAGCAGAGCATCTCTTTATTACGGACAGACCTCTCCCCATCTTTACAACCATTGAATCGATAAGTTTTGACCATGATAGTTTACAATCTAAGGTAACGCCAAGTAATTTAGTCTCCTCAACTTGTTCAACAGCCACACCATTCATTACCAGATTCAGCTGAGGTCTATAACTTAGGGAATGATTTGTACCAAATACAATGCTCTTAGTTTTAGAGATGTTCAGGACCAGTTTATTAGTGGTACCCATTCCAAAACAGACTGCAACTCTTTGTTAATATTATATGGTATATGGTGACTTCATTAGCTGTGGTTGCTGATGCGTATATGGTTGAATCATCAGCATACAGTGGCAGGTCATTGGTAAAAATAGAAAAGAGTAGAGGGCCTAGAGAGCTGCCCTGTGGTACACTACACTTTACATGTTTGACATCAGAGAAGCTTCCATTAAAGAAAACTATTTTAGTTCTATTAGATAGATAGCTCTGAATCCATGATATGGCAGAGGTTGAAAAGCTATAACACATATATTTTTTCAACAACAGGTTATGGTCAATAATATCAAAGGTTGCACTGAAATCTAACAGTACAGCTCCCACAATCTTCTTATTATCAATTTCTTTCAACCAATCATCAGTCATTTGTGTCAGTGCAGTACATGTTGAGTGCCCTTCCCTATAAGTATGTTGAAAGTCTGTTGTTAATTTCTTTACAGAAAATAGCATTGTATTTGGTCAAACACAATTTTTTCCAACAGTTTGCTAAGAGCTGGCAGCAAGCTTATAGGTCTACTGTTAGAACCAGTAAAGGCCTCTTTACCATTCTTGGGTAGCGGAATTACTGATCGATTCGATGAATGATGGTGTTGAAATTGTCTTTCTACCCATAATTTCATTTAAAGTACTCCAAAGTTTTTTTCCATCATTCTTTATATCATTGATATTGGCTTCATTATACAGTTTCTTCTTCTTTTTGTTGAGTTTAGTCACATAATTTCTCAATTTGCAGTAAGTCAACCAGTCAGATGTGCAGCCAGACTTATTAGCCACTCCTTTTGCCCCATCTCTTTCAACCATACAGTTTTTCAATTCCTCATCATTCCATGGAGCCTTAACAGTTCTAACAGTCAGTTTCCTAGCAGGTGCATGTTTATCAATAATTGGAAGAAGCAATTTCATAAATGCATCAAGTGCAGCATCTGGATGCTCCTTATTAATCACATCAGACCAACACATATTTGTTTACATCAACCAACATATGAGTCACAGCAACATATTTTGAATGATCTCTTATACACTATTTTAGGCCCAGCTGTTGGAACTTTGGCTTTCCTGGATATAGCCCCTATATTGTGATCACTGAATCCAATGGGTACAGATACAGCATTAGAACAAAGTTCTACAGTATTAGTAAAAATGTGATCGATACATGTGGATGATCTTGTTCCTGTAGTGTTTGACTTCACAATCTGATCTGAAATACTTTTCTATCCTGTAGGAGAAACTTACTGCTGAGTGTGTCTTCAAGGAGCAGTTTGAGGAGAACTGGTACAACACATACTCCTCCAACCTTTACAAGCACGGAGACAAAGGGACTCGCTACTTTGTGGCGTTAAACAAGGACGGCACGCCTCGGGACGGAACAAAGTCCAGGCGACACCAGAAGTTCACCCACTTCCTGCCCAGGCCCGTGGACCCTGAACGGGTTCCGGAGCTGTACAAGGAGATTCTGGGCCACAGCTGAGACTGGCCTGCAGATCAGGAATAGCTGCTTATTAAGCTCCAGTCCCTCCCGCTGTGGGAAGCAGGGATGTGTGCAGGCCAGGCCAAGACAGTGGAGCCAACCAGCCCTACAGCAGCCCCAGCCAGCCAGCAAGTTAGGAGTAGCATACACTCAGCGAGGAAGACAGTCTAGAATGTATGACATTGTCAACCTAAACACCAAGGCATGAGTAGGCTGTATGTTCCAGGGGTAAACTAACCCCCGAGAGTAGCTGTCTGTGGAATAGGAGGGAACAGGAAGAGGATCAGAGGAAGAGATGCTGATGCGGGAGGGAGGGCAGGAGGATTGGTCACTCTTCTGTTTTAGGGTCAATACACTTCAGGAAGTGTCTGTTGGACTGAGGAGCTCGTTGGAATCATATAGATACAACATAGAGATAGAACTGTTCTATTATCTATTATTGGAATGGCCAAATCTATGGGATTCTATACTGCTTTTTATTTGGGGGTGCTATGATGTTTTGGAAGGGCTCTGTTTATTTAAGGACTTTGAAGGAACTCAACTGTATTATTCTCGTTTTACATGTGACTAGATAATGCTGAAAGGGGCAGAAATATATTTGTTACAGATGTCATGTCAAAATGTATTATTTATTCATTTCTAGATACTTATATTTATGTTATATTTATTTATTTCAGAATATACACTGAGTGTACAAAACATTAGGAACACCTGCTCTTTCCATGACAGACTGACCAGTTGAATCCAGGTGAAAGCTATGATCCCTTATTGATGTCACTTGTTAAATCCACTTCAATCAGTGTAGATGAAGGGGAGGAGACAGGTTAAAGAAGGATTTTAAGCCTTGAGACAATTGAGACATGGATTGTGTATGTGTGACAAGACAAAAGGTTTAAGTGCCTATGAGCAGGGATGGTAGTAGGTGCCAGGCGCACCGGTTTGTGTCAAGAACTGCGACGCTGCTGGGTTTTTCATGCTCAACAGTTTCCCGTGTCTATCAAGAATGGTCCACCACCCAAAAGACATCCAGCCAACTTGACACAACGGTGGGAATCATTGGAGTCAACATGGGCCAGCATCCCTGTGGAACGCTTTCGACACCTTGTAGTGTCCATGCTCCAACGAATTGAGGCTGTTCTGGGGGAAAAAGGGTTGCAACTCAATATTAGGAAGATGTTCCTTATGTTTTGTACACTCAGTATATTTGAAGGGTTTGACTCCAAAATGCGACAAATGCCAATTTTTGACATTAGCATTTTTTCTTCTGAAATAAATGCTCATGGGTCCGTTTCTATGTGTAGGAATTATAGCTGTTCTCATACTTTTAAAACATTTACTTCAGATGTGCTTTATAATGTGTTTTTTTGCAAAACAAGATATCACTTGTTTCATATCAAAACGCGCTATATCTATAGCCATGTGTTTAGAGAGTTGACATTAAGGTTTCTGCTTATGATGCATTTACATGACACTACAACATTCTATGGCAGCCATGTTAGCATCCCAGAGACAACCGGATTCATCCAGTTTTCAGGGGAAATGGAAAGAGAGCCTGTGACACTTTTGGACCTTAACAAGGCGACACCACTGAGGTATAAAGAGCTGTCAAACATCTTGGATGCAGTCTCCAGTTCTTATTATACCTCAGTGGCTGTGAGAGATGGGGGAAAAAAATTGTCCTGTGACAATTATTTGAATAATTCAGTATGATGCTTTGTGCACAAAGGTGATGGCAAAAGTGTCTTATAATAAGGGTTACATGGAGAGAATTGGACCTCTCCGAAATGAAAATGGATGGCCCTCCCTTCAGCAAAATACATTTAACCTAAACCCTCTCTGAACGCTTGAAAAAAAAAGTGACCCTCCCCTATACTGAAAATAATAATTAAAACTAAAAGTGGATAGCAGAGAATATGCTACCGTTTACAGGAATTTTTTTATAGCACACAGGGCTGCAGGCCAAAAGGTTGTGGGTTCACAGACCACCATGGACAAGAGTAGTGGGTGGAAAGATCTCCTTTATAGTAAAAGCATTGCATGAATCTATCATCGTATTTGCAGGTCCGAGAAGAAATTGCCTACGTCATATTACATACTAGCAGAATCTTTTTTAATAGCACACAAATTACCGAAATGACAGGCTAAGAATGGACAGATAGATTGGCCTATGGGCTCATCTTATAATATTTCTCCAATGCCAAATCAGTGTGTCTTGTTTGCAACAAAACTGTCCTTGTTTGCAAATAATAAAATTTGAGATATCATTAGGAATCTGAGCATGGTAACCTACATTCAAAAGTTAGGCCTACCTTTCCACCCCAGTAGGCCTACATATGCAGAAAAATGTAAGCTTTAACTGCTGGCTACTTTTCTTCCATGGCTTAACCCAACAAGAGATGGTTACAAGTGTTTCCCTAAAAGATGTTTTGTGTTTAAACATCTATTGTAGAGAAAGTGAATAGCTTAATAAATTGATAGTGACAGAATTACATTACTTCCCAAGCAAAGTTTTGTCTCCTCGGCTATAGAAGGCTGTAGCTCAGCCTCTGAATGTCAAAGATGCATCAGAGTCACGTCTTTACCAGGTATTTTGAAGCTTGTTTCTAGCATAAAGCATTGCGGACCAAAGCGCTGTTATATATCACTTTATATACACTTTATAAAATCTTAAGCTAACAAGGGGTAGTCCTTTTTGCAATTTTCTTTAATAAAAGGTAGGCCTATGGCATACCCTCTCATACCCCCTCAATTCGAGTCCTGGTTTTAACATAACAGCCCTTCAGTGACACAAAGGTAGGCTATTTAAAGAGTGCATGGTTGGTGGAGGAATTGGCCAACAAATCTATGGATAAAGCAGCCTATAGTCTAATTTCGTCTGCAAACAGGTAGGCCTACCTCTTATTTCTTAAATAACAGCCCTCTGGTTGTTAGTAAAGTCTAATTAAAATGAAGACTGTTGAAATGAATTACGCCTACCTGAATTTGCCTAATTTCAGCCCCATGAGCTATCCATTTCTGATTGATTGTGCCGCGGTTGCTGCTTCAAGCACCACAATATAAGTTACTCGAATCTGTCTTATTGTGAGGTCAATTACTGTTAAATACATAATGGGCAGGAAATGTATTGTTTTTATTCAAATCAATTATAGTAGTAGCAAGCTTTCAAAGTTGACTTCCGGTCCTCCTTCTCATCTTTGTGCTCTCCTTCTCAAACTGAACAGAACAAAGGCTATGGGCTAATCCACGCACAAGATATTGCATTTTTTGGTCTAGGCCAAATCAAATTTTATTTTCAGAAGAAGCCTTTGACTCTCCTCCTGTAGGCTTACACAGCACAGCACTGGTTAGGCACCACACAAAAAAGGTTTTGATCAGCAAGAGCAGAGCAGGGCTCAGGGTTGGAGTATCCATTGCAGTGTGTAATGCAGCCTAGTTTTATTTACACCATCCCAGCAGCTATCTTAGAAATATAACTTTGACCTGTGCTTCTCTAAATATGCACTTCATAGCCTATAGCCTATAGGCTATGGATCATTTGATTGAGACCACACTAAATAGCCTATAGGCACACTTGATATTGCGTGCCCAGCGGAGAATCAGAGATGAGGGTGTGGCATTGGGCACACATCGATATACACTGAGTATACCAAACATTAGGAACACCTTCCTAATATTGAGTTGCACCCCTCAGATAATTCAAAGGCACTTACATGAAGTGGATTATATCAATAAGGGATCATAGCTTTCACCTGGATTTACCTGGTCAGTCTATGTTCTTAATGTTTTGTATACTCAGTGTATAGCCTAATAAGCAACTAATTCTAAAACCCTGAGAAATTTTGAAACTTCATCAATTACAAATTACATGACCCTCCCATGGACTAGATTTAAGAAAAATACTAAATCCTCCCCTTGACTGAAATTGAAAAAGCATGACCCTCCCCTATTTTCCTCCAGGTACCCATTCTATAAATTTCGATCTACGCCTTATTAGTAATTTTCAAATCTGACTTATGTATGTGGTAGTGCTGAGCGATTAACCAACATTTCTGGGTGGTTTTGGTTATTAAACAACTAATTCCATTTAGTTCTGATTTTTTGAGTGCCGTTTCTCTAGAGAGAAATCTAATCATTCACTAGAGAAATCAAGTCAAGATCTATGTGGGACACTGGGTTGAACAGAGTTGTAATTTTCATTAAGCCTAGTTCAGCGCAGAAACGTGGTAATTAACTACAATGACCATAATCCATTGCACCTGTTCTTTCTGGCTCGGACAGAGATCTAATAAAATCAAATCAAATTTGATTTGCCACATGCGCCGAATACAACAGGTGAAATGCTTACTTACAAACCCTTAACCAACAATGCAGTTTTAAGAAAAAAAGTGTTAAGTAATGGATACACCTTTTTTTAATGCCTGCTACATCAGGTTAGGTTAGGTTAGATATACAGACCACATAGACCGCATGAGAGAGGAATGTACACAACACAACTTTTTACAATGCCAGGGTTGTGGGTTCGTTTCCCACGGGGGACCAGTAACAAAAAAAAAAAAAAAAAAAAAAAATGTATGCACTCCCTAACTGTAATTTGCTCTGGATTAAAGCATCTGCTAAAATGACTAAAATGTAAATTACAGGAATGTACACAACACAACAACAACGAGAGAGGAAAGAGACTAATTTGAAGAACTAGTATAATAAGTTGACTAAAGACAATACAGTATGGGGAGCACAGAGATAAGGTTGTCTGGCTGGCTAGCTGCCACTGCCTGAGCAGAGATGAGATGATGACTTTAAGGAATGAAAAATAATGAAGTCATCAAATAAAACAAAGTAATATACACAACTGAAATATTTTATTATTTCATAGTAATTTCCTATTTTTCTATACACAATGTGGACAGACAGAGACAATGGAATATTTTCAATGTTTTGGCAATTGAATGTTCATTATTTTTGGCTTTGGAATTTCCATGAAAAAGCTAGAAACTGTACCG